TACTGATTTCGATTGGCAAGAATCTAGAAGCAAAGTCGGCGCCATTCCTACATAGAATCGTAAGTCAGTTCCTGTTACAACGTAGAAGGATCAACACGACTTTATAACCACGTAATTTAAATCGTTATACATATCCATATATATGCAAAACCAACAATAAGTCTATATAATTTAATAACAATAATGAAATACCTCATGAATAGCAAACCGTATACTGTAAAATCCTTATTAACGCCGACAGCTGTCTTGACGTTATTAAACCACGAATAGCCACCATGGTCTTATTCATGACAAACGTGAAGGTAGCCGTCCATTTGATTTCTACAGTAGAACCAACTTCAGACGGTACTTTCGTACTGACTAGGCTTACGCATTGTATTATACGTAAACGAAGCTCTGTGTGATGCAATAAAAATGCTAATACGATAGTTTCGACCAAGGACAAAAAATTCTCAAGAATCGTACATCCACTGGAGCCTTGATTTAATGACAAAATGGCGCTCGATTATACAGATAATATAGAATCTTGCTATAATAAATGCTATGAGAGTATTGCTTTTTTAATAAGCTGGAATTTATCGTGGCGAAATGAAAATCCACGTTGACCGAGCGCCGGAAAAAGGAAAAGAAGGGGAAATTCACATTGATTGATAGAAAGGGGCGATAACAGTGTTTCGTCAGAAATATCGCGTTACGTCATTTCAACGATAAATACAGACGGTATATATATATATACGATATCACTATACGATATGACTATTATTCTAGCGCACTATCCCTTGCTACTATAGTTTATTGGAAAGCTGTCAATATCAAAATGATTACTATGCACTATACATGTACATAGACATATGTATATAGTAATATACACATATATAAACTAAAAAGTGGGGTGTTAGATCAATATTAGGTTGATAATTAGAAAACGTATGGACGGGCAATATGAAGATTGACTGTTGTAACGGGGCCAAAATTCACGGTCGCAGTGGCTGGTCTATAAATAAATATTCATAGGGGCTGAACAGTCGAGTGGGTTTCGACGGTTTAGGTATATAGGAACCTACGTATCAGCCCCTTACGTCGACCTTGCTCTTTCTGTACTTAATTAACTTTTACTAATTAAAGCAAGTCTGCCGACTATACCGGATGAAGTTTCTCATTTTGTTGTTATCAAATTTCCACTCTTTCTACGTCCCGGTCCCTGCCTCCCGTAGCTACCTAATAAACGTGCCATCTTATCTAGATAAGCGTCAGATAATTTTACATTATTCTAGATGCGTGAAACCAGATAAATCGACAGAGCATTGAACGTCCGACTCGACCCAAGCGTAACCACTACAGGAATAAGAAAAACATGTTAGAAAGAATAAAAAAAATTCAATCAAATTTTCTCGTAAAATTCACAAAAAAACAAAATTAATCTCCGTATACTGGAATGCTCAGGCGCAAAGTCGAGAAGAATTTATTGTAATGAGCCTGCTCGGGTTAGACGGTAGAAAATTTTTCTACCGACTCAAGGTCGTCACGGCGTAGCCCAACAAACGTACAGCAGAGGACTGACGGCTCAACGTAGAACGTGCACCTTGGATACGCTCAATCCAGCTAATGAGCTTCCTACGTATTTGCATACCGATCTTATAACGTATATAGATATCGAATTACCTGTTGCTCCACATACCCACGGTATACCTTGTGCGTGTACTAGAGGCTTGTACGGTTACCGTGATTCTGTACGTAACGTTTCGGACTGTTCATGCGTGAAAGATTAATTATACGCCAAAGGAGAAATTACGCTACAGTCGATTCGATCGGTTCGTTCTGTACAAAAACACGGCTGGTTATCTATGCCCGATCGGGTTTACAGATATTTGTTAATATTTTACACGTTAAAATAGTATACGTACGATTCTCAACCGATGAAATTCGTATATCGAATTGAATTCACTGTGAATCTTACATGAGCTAATCATAATAATATTAACAAAAAAAAAACTCATCGCCGCTAGGGTCAACACTGTACTGGATCTTTCTGACTACAAGGCGCTCTGACAATTCTAAGTAAAGTTAACAAGATCGTGACGAGTTTGAAATCGTGGAATTGCGTCTGCATGCCCAGTACGAAGGTCGATAAAAAAGATTCAACTACATTAAAAAAGAAGTCGTACAGCTTCACGCGTACAATACCCACAATAAAATGATCAGAATCAATATCAAAAATTGTTCTCGTAGAACATAACCTTAATAGAAGATTTCCGGGGTATTTTTTAATACCCCCCCCCCCCCCCT